GGGGGGGGGGGGGGGGGGGGGGGTTCCAGGTATTCCAGTTTCCTATTGGCAGCTGTGACTCAGTGGTTAGAGCAGTCGTCCTCCAATGAAAGAGTTGGGGGTTCGATTCCACCAGTATACAGTCACATGTCAATGTCTGTGCAAGACATTGAAACCCCTCTTTGTCTCTAATGTGTGTCCTATTGGTGTATGAATGTAATCTAAAGTGCTGATTAGCCTTTATGGATTGATTTATTCAGATTAGCCTTGGAGAAATGTAGTAGAGTGAGTGCTGTATAACTGTGTGCGTGAATGGGTTGGGTTGTAAATTGCTTTGATTATCCTGGTTGGATGGAAAGGTGCTACATAAGTACTGTCCATTTACCTTTTACTTTTCCTCCCATAGTACAAAACATGCATTTTTAGGCTTCCTTCAGATTTCTCCTGAAAAAGAAATCTGGGTTCATGGAATTGTAATTTGAGGTTAATAAAAAAATATAATGATATTCCACTAAAGAACTATTACATATTTCTTTAGAATATAATGTACTTTATCAATGCATTATAAATGTCTACAACTAATATTATATCCTAAAAAATAGTTTTACAAATGCTTATTGTGCTTACAAGGTGGTAGCTTAGTCTGAAATGTTTAATATAACAACATATATAGGTGGCAGATTTGGCTCACTATTTGGCAAGAAACTGCTCAGTTTTGTCTCTCTGTCACCCTTAGTTAATGCATAATAAACAATTATTAATGACTTATAAAGTGTTTATAGAGGAATTAATAACATATCTATAAACCATTTATTATCCATCTATAAGGGGAGCCTTATTGTAAAGTGGAACCAAAAAGATTAAAAATAAAATAAAAAACACGTACAAGCTCCTGTTTGAAAATGACCCAGTGAACATGTGACTCTCCACGGATTTAAAAATGCCACAAATGACGGTCACACATCTTCATGCCTCAGTAATTGAAAACTGGTTCGAATGAGCTTGAGAAGTTATTTTGAGGAGTCCTTGGAGAACTGCTTCCCATTGACAGCCAGATATTGTTATGTTCACTCAAGTTGCTCTTGTGAGAACAGAACAGATTGAAGAAGATTAAACAGAATAACTTTTGTCTGTATGCATACTTATGTTTTCACTAACGGATGATATTTACTTTATTTTCCCACTAATAACTTGCTTATTCTAATTTGTTGTTATGAATTATCTGAATGAATGAAAGGGATGACTAACATTTTTCCCTTCAGGGTGCGCTTCCTGTTAGGAGGCCGACACGGTGACTTTAAATTCCTGCCTCCATCAAACTATGCGCCGTGCTACGAGGCTCTATTACCTAAAGAAAAAATGAAGGTGGAGCCGGTGAAGGAGTATAAAAGAGATGTGGAAGGAGTCCGAGACCTGTTGGGAAATCCCCAATTCACTTCACAGGCCTCTTTCATTCCCATCCCTGTAGAAACCAGCCAGGTGAGCTACAACCTGAGTGTGACATATCTATTAACAACAAAAAAGACGTCTCAATAAACACGCTTTCTGCTTCAGATTGTCATGCCGCCTCATTTGGAGAAGATTCGGAACAAACTGGCTGAAAACATCCACGAACTATGGGGCATGAATAAGATAGAGCTGGGCTGGACTTACGGCAAGGTGAGAAACAAGTTAACAGTTTTATTTTCTCTCATAATCATCATTTTTATAAGTTAAAAAAAAGATGGCTCCATACATTTAGTCATGCTTGTTGATACATTTCTAGTACAAAATCTGCTTGAAATGAATTAGATTAAAATAGAAGTAGCATTTGCCCATCACAGAAGCCTGTATGTCATATTGCTTTCTCTTTTATAATTTGCGGTTCACTCCTAAAAGAGGGTAAGTGGAAAAAAGAACTCACTTTTTTATGTTTCTTGTGGTCATATCACTCATTTAGATGCTTCTTTCCTATTTGTTTGTAGGTAAAGTCATTGTAGTGTGTGTTAGAGTAATATTGTTTCACTCATGGACAAAACTGACTGTTTACAAGTTTGGCTTCCCTCAAAATCAGGATTAGCTTTATTTTAAATGGTCACCAGTTAGTTGTTTCTTCTTGTTGAATGAAAACTGTTGGATATGTTGAGCTGGGCTCTTGTATTTTTGACAGCTGCATATTCGTTCCCAGACGTGCATGTTTTCTTGGTAAACATTCTCCACTGTCATGCCATCTCCTATGAGCAACATTGCCTAGGAGAATATTTGGCATACATTGCAGCATGGAAAGATGCATTAAAGTGCTTAGTATTCAAGCCACACATCTTTCTTTGCCCCTCCAAGAAAATGTGCCCCTTGTTCCTTTTCTGTAACATGTCCACCAGAGAAAACTACCTTTTCACTCCAAGCAGTTGCACATACATGTAAATCACATGCCCGCCCCCTTGTTAGTTCAAAACGACTTACAAGGTTGTGGTTTTCATATGCATATTTTAAACGACTAACAATGTCCATATGTTAAACACGTACTTTGTGCAAATGAAGTGCGGTATTTAATAAAAATGAGATGTTTTATATGTTTTAAAATAATTGTTTTCTTGCAGATAAGGGATGATAATAAGCGACAGCATCCATGCCTGGTGGATTTCTCAAAGCTGCCAGAAACTGAAAAGAACTACAATCTGCAGATGTCGACAGAAACTTTGAAGTAAGTTGATCAGACTGTGCAAGCTTAGTTTCTGAAGAGGTGAATGGATCAGTATAATAAATAAGCAGGAAAATAAGTTACAGATTAAAAGACAAATGTTTTTTTGCACAATTAATTGTTGCTTGTGAGAGGATTTGTCTTCAGTTTGTGCACAATCTGTATCACCTTTGATAGTATGGTCTTTTTTTATCCTAGTGATGCTAAAACTTTTGTCTCATCAGAACTCCTCTTTGTGCATATCTTGGAACATTTCCATAAAGTTGTTGGAAAGATCAGATGGAATTGTGTTTTGTTAAAAAAAATCATCATTGTCCCTCATCTCCTCAAGACATCCCTGCTTCTCTGCTTTCTTTGAACACTTCTGGCCCTTCTCAATACATCTGGTGTGTCTGTGTGTGTGTTTATTCCGCAGGACTCTGCTGGCACTCAGCTGTCGTATCGTTCAGGTGAATCCAAATGCAGAGGACTCCCTCAAAAAAATAAAATTACCCAAAAAGTAAGTTTGGCACAGTTTGTGAATCAAACAAAAGGTTTATTGCTTTTTATAACTGGATGTGTTGTATACGTACAGCTAAAAATGATTAATTAAACATTACTCTGATATCTTTACATACAGTATAAAACATATAAAGCCTGTACTGTCAACAGGGAAATAAAATGACGCTATAAATCAAACCATGAGCAACCTTAAATTTTCAAAGCCTTTACAGCAGCATGAGGGAAAAAAGCATATAGTGATGTTCATGAGGTCTGTATTGTTAGAGAATTTTCTTCCAGGCTGTAAATGTAAACCCTCCCTCATGGATTTACTCAGTTTATTACCCTGCATTCATATCTGAAGCTGGAATACTTTTTAAAATCTTTTTTTCTTGTAGTTATATGATGTCCAATGGTTATAAACCATCCCCTCTGGACCTGTCTGACATCAAATTGACTCCAGGCCAGGAGCTGCTGGTGGACAAACTGGCAGAAAATGCACACAATGTGTGGGCCAAGGACCGCATCAAACAGGGATGGACCTACGGCATTCAGCAGGTTTGTTCCAATATTTGTACTTTAATTAACGTTGGTGCCAAAGCGGACAGTCAGTTTTAATTACAAACAATTATGTATTTTCTGTTTCTGGCCATCTCTAGTTATCTTGCTCATTAATGTTGCAACCACAGAATTTATGTATCTTATCAGACAGAGTACCAGCTCGACAGGCTGACATTTCCTTGCTGGGACATAATTCAAAACACACTAAGATATGCTGTAGTAAAGGGCAGAACACTCTGTACAGAACATACATCTTACAATATCCGGAAAAAGATAAGACCCCCCCCCCCCCACACACACACACATCTGCAGATGTAAGTTAATGTTATTAAACGGGGTATTTTTACACTTGCCATGAGTTTGGACTTAAAATGTATTGTTTTTTTCTTTAGATTATTACCAAAACATGTGTTCCTAAATGCAAAATGGTATTGAAAAAGCTTTAAGTTTATGGTGTATGATATTTTTAAATTATTTTCGAACAAATTATGTTATACAAAAGTTTGCTAGTCATTTAATCTGTTCTTGTTGAAGAGGGTGGAAAAGCCTAAACAGCATAAATGATGTGCAGTTCATCAAATGCAGGCAACACTCTGTTTAAGCTGAGATGAAAGATTCTATGTAAAACACTAATTAAACCATTAAATATTTTTTACAGTGTATCAGATGAAAAAAATATGAACTTTTTATTGATGCTACTAATCCTTTTAAGATCAGAACTTGTACTTGTTTAGTAATGCGAGAACAATGAAAAGTCAGTTCTGCAACCTACAGTACAAACACAAGATAAGATAAGAACTTTATTGATCCCACACAAAATTGTTGAAATGAGACTTAAAGTACAGATATGCCTCAGGAATACTGATATAACACAAATATTTGTGTCATGGCCCCGGAAGCGACACAGTAAAATAGATGAAGTGATAAACAGCAATATCCCAGTACCAATACATGATCATTAAACTGATAATTTTAGCACTGTTGCCTCACAACAAGAAGGTCCTGGGTTCAATTCCCGGTTGGACCTGGGGTAGAGTTGCACTCGGATCCAAATAATCTGACCCGGCCCCAGGCCGCAGCCATCATCTCTGTACCCCACCCGATCAGACGAAGTAACAGTTAATTACAGGTCTGTACCCCCACCCCCCCAACATTTTTTATTAAGTTTTGACTGCTTATACCATAGACTATTATTAACGGTTGGCAGATGCGCGCGGCTGAAGGGGCAGAAGATTGGAGCTGAGAAGCCATCAAAGCGCATTAAATACTTCCCCTGCTTCTGCCTGCATCCTGCTCTGACATGTTGGATATTTTGTAATCTCAACTGTTCGGGTCGTCGGCCATGCGCATCTGGTGAGTGCAGCGGCTGAATGAACATCCATTTGGACTTATGGATTGCTTCCTGGTAGTAGTCCATCTGAAGCTTAATTGAACTTTTTACCTCTTTCAACCGGCCAGTCAGCGCTCGGTCAAATGGCCATGTGCAGCAGGTGTAATATGGCAAGCAATGTTTGCATACACTGGATCATCAGTCACGCGCATCCCTGATACAATAAAAAGCCCAACACCAAACCGGCCAACACATTAAGCACATTATCAGGTGTAATATGGCAAGCAATGTTTGCATACACTGGATCGTCAGTCACGCGCATCCCTGATACAATAAAAAGCCCGACACCAAACCGGCCAACACATTAAGCACATTATCATGGCCCGGCCCGAATTCGGGCCAGGTTAGAAATGACAGCTCTAACCTGGGGTCTTTCTGGGTGGAGGTTGCATGTTCTTCTCGTGCTTGCATGGGTTTTCTCCGGGTACTCCGGTTTCCTCCCTCAGACCAAAAACATGCATGTTAGGCTGCTTTCAGGCCTCCCTTGCAAAAGAGATCTGTGATCTCAATGGGATTTGCCTGGTTAAATAAAAGTTAATAAACTTCTGAATTAGTTTAACTGACATCACAGTAGTAACAAACAGGTTTCATGACTGAGCTGATTTTCTTGATTCAGCACATTACTGAGACAAACAGATGTTTGGAGCAGAGTTCAGATCAATTGGGCACAAAGAACTTCCTCCAACAAACTTTTCTCTGCACAGGATCTGAAGAGCAAGCGTAACCCTCGTCTGGTTCCATATGTGCTGCTGGATGAGCGGACCAAGAAGTCGAACAGGGACAGCCTGCGCGAGGCTATCCGCACCATGATTGGATATGGATACAACATTGAGCCCTTGGACCAGGAAGGTGGTGAGTTTTACGTATGCAATCAGGCCTGTCACAATAACAAATTTTGCTGGGCGATTAATTGTCTCAGACATTATTGTGATAAACGATAATATTGTTTGAAATTTGCCAATAATTAATAATTATTGTCAAACTTAAGAAGAAATGTTTGTTAATTTGTTTTGTGTGTAGTACCTTTTTTCAACAACCGGATCGCAGTATAAGACTGAACCGAAGGATGGATAGTGAGGGAGCGAGCAGCGTGTCCCTAAGAAAAATGGGAGGGAGGCCCCTTGACGTGACATGGGCTGTCTCTCTTTGGTTCTCAAAATAGCGGATGCTCGGTGTGGTTTGAGCTCTTTAGCATAGCATTTTTCATACAAAGCTTTTAATAACAAATCAATAAACAAGTTCTCAGATTCTTTTTGCAGCGAAAAAACAACTTTTTACACAAAGGCACGGGTTTCAACTGTGAATTTTGGAGCTTCGACAAGACAGAGGTTTTTTCCTGAGGTCGGCCTGTTAGCTTAACTCCTAGCTTAGCTTCTCAAAACACGATTTTGAATGGTTAAAATGGATTTTAAAGAGAAAAGAGAAAGGGAAGGGTCATTGAAGAGCACCGAGTTGAGTTCTTTGTCATCCATTGTTTTCAGTAGAAAGAGAGAGACACAAAAAATGATAAAGCTGATAAATGAAAATGAGGTCGATAATTTTCATTTATAATGTGATTAATTGATTTATTGTTTTATCGTGACAGGCCTAACTGAAGTTCAAATTACAGTATATAGTGCATAAAAAACTGATTGGGTTATGCCTTGATTTAATTTTTCAGTCCAGATATGTGATTTTGCCTCCCACCCTCTATCCATTTTTGGAAAAGTGAAAGAGGGTGGGAAAGAGTTGCGTTTAATTGTACCCTCTGGGCTTTTTGGAATCACTATCTCCATTAATGTATTTTTCCCAAGTGGGGAATACCATCTCCTGTCCTGAACTGCATCTGTCTCTTTTGACTTTGCAGTGCAAACGGCTGAGCGTCTCAGCATTGATAAGATCCGCTTCTTCAGAGTTGAAAGGACGTATGCTGTGAAAACTGGAAAGTGGTACTTTGAATTTGAAGCTGTTACCGGCGGAGACATGCGAGTCGGCTGGGCCAGACCTGGATGTAAACCTGATGTTGAGCTTGGTACAGATGAGCTTGCTTTTGTCTTCGATGGATACAGAGTAAGCTGTCAGGAAAACCAACTTAGTGTTAATGTAGTTTTCATGTTGCACCTTATTCTCACTCTGTATACATTTGTTGCACATAGGGCCACTGTCTGAACATGGGGAGCCGGTTGTTCGGGCGCTGCTGGCACGCTGGGGATGTAGTCGGCTGCATGATCAACATGGAGGACAAGTCCATAATCTTCACTCTAAATGGAGAGATTCTAATTACCACCAAAGGGTCTGAACTCTGCTTCACTGACTTTGAAGCTGAAGATGGTGAGGATTAAAGAACACAAATAAATGTGGGCAGGACTTGACTGACCTATTCTAGCTTGAGGTTCAGAAATGTCAGACTAATAAGGTGGTGCGAGGGAGAATTGTTAGGCATAAGCATCTCTCTGCTCATTTTTAATAAAGCCTTCACATGCAGAGCAGGGGTCTTTAATTTAGAATGATCATGCTCAGGCTATAAGTTAAAAATAAGTGGCTAGCTGTAACAAAATCAGCCTTATTTAATGTGACAGTCGAGAATAGCCTCTCTGCAAATGCAGGATTGATTTTCCTTCTTCTCCTGCTCTGTGTTCTTAAAGCTTTTATTGTGCCATTCCACTGCTTCTTTATTCTCCTCTCTCTTCTCCTTCCTTCCTTCGGCTGTTGGTTAGGGTTTATTCCAGTCTGTAGCCTTGGTCTGGCGCAGGTTGGTCGCATGAATCTGGGGAAAGATGCTAGCACCTTCAAGTACTACACAACATGTGGCCTGCAGGAGGGATTTGAACCCTTTGCTGTCAACATGAACCGTGAGATCACGATGTGGTTCAGCAAACGTTTGCCTACTTTTGTCAACGTGCCAAAAAACCACAACCACATTGCAGTAAGATCAAAGTCTATGTAAGCAACATTTACAGTTCATAAAGGCAACACCCATAGATTCAAACATTTTATCTATGTTTGCAGGTAACCAGGATTGATGGCACCATCGACAGCCCCCCTTGTCTTAAAGTCACTCACAAGACATTCGGCACCCAGAACACTAACGCCGACATGGTGTTTTGCCGTCTCAGCATGCCTGTAGAGTTTCACTCTTCCTTCAAGTCCAGTCCTGCAGTTGATATGAATGGTGTGCACGATGAGGAAATACTCAAGGTTAAACACAGGTGCTGACCTTCTCAAAAATATATGCCTCACTGAAAGAAACAATATCATGTCAAGTCACGACATAAAGGCTGTTTAACATGTTGAGTTGAATCTCTCCCAGATATCCACTGAGATCTGTGAGACACTTTGAGGAAAGTAGACGAGTGGATTACAGCAGCTTCACATCGGTACTTTCAAACCTTCTTTTTGACGCTACCATAGAGTTGCAACCTTTATGTTTTCTGCTAACTCGTTTTTGTTTTGTTGCAGTACCACCACTCAGTGAGAATCTTCGCAGGCCAGGACCCTACCTGTGTGTGGGTTGGATGGGTCACCCCCGACTACCATTACTATAACAACAACTACAACCTCTGCAAAAATCGAACTGTGACCGTAACCCTGGGTGACGAGCGTGGACGAGTCCATGAGAGGTGAGGCTCCAGCATCTATACAGGTACAAAGTCTTTGATGTTCTGAGTGCTGAAATTGTCCATTTATTTATTTATTCGACGATAACGGACAGTGTGAAGAGGAGTAACTGCTACATGGTATGGGGTGGTGATGTGATCGGGGCAGGCCACGCCTCCGGTGGCAACAACGTTGATCTGGAGATTGGCTGTCTGATAGACCTCGCCACTGGTTTGGTGACATTCACCGCCAACGGCAAGGAGATATCTACATCCTACCAGGTGCTGACCTCAAGTAAACATGATTATGTTATCTCATGGACAAACATAATGACAACAATACTTGTGCTACATGCCACACGGGGGAAACATGTCCATATTGTTAACACTGCACCTATCTGAGCTAATTAGCCTCTGAAGAGGAACACAAGCAGCTTATGGGATACAATTAGGTAGACAAGGCTTTGTTGAGACAAACTTGCGTAGGAACACTATTAAACAATAGCATCCAAATGGTATAAACTTGTTAAAAAGTGTGTTGAGTTATGCTAGTTTTATTTATTTATTATTTATAAGCATGCATGTATGATCATGTCCAATTCTTTGAGAAAACTACCATTAATCAATTGGTATTGTTTATTTATCCAATGCTAAATTAGCAGTGTGGAAATGACATCCATTTGTCTACTTAGGCGTGTTCTCAACAAGCTGTGACCTGGCATTTCTATCAAGAGATGGCAAGACATTTTAGCATCGATATCCAGAATTATGTTTGATACAAACTATGGAAATGCTGATACACAGTCGCTGCCGTCTTACCATCTGCTCATTTATTTATCGTCAGTCGTTTCAAAGTTGCTACCTTTTCGACTCTCCTCCCAGCTCAGTCCATTTTCTGTTAAATTTGCGACTTTTAAAGCTTTGCGTATTTTCCTGACAGAGCAATAACCTTCATATTGTTGAATTTCTGACTTGGAATATGCTTTAAGATGTGCTTTGAGAGCAAAATTTTTGGAGAACCTTTTGAGTTTTATAATCTTCTTACATTTTCCTGCTCTAGAAATCTGTGAGGATTCATGGGGTACTGACTCATCCTGCCAGCCGGCGCTCAAATGATCAAATACACACACACGCACACACACGCCCTCCACATACACACATGCTTACTAAGTAGAAAGGTTTTCATGACGCATCATTAAGCTTCTTCCTGCAAGTCATGGATTCTTGCTCCTCATACTCTACTTTTTGATTCCTGTTTAATGTTTTTAACCTTAAATTAAAGTTGATTTGTTTCTCGGCTGTAGGTGGAACCAAACACAAAACTGTTTCCTGCTGTGTTTGTGCGACCCACCAGCCCTAACCTGTTTCAGTTCGAACTGACTAAAATTAAGGTAGAGTTCCTTATGTTTTATTTACCAAATCATGGCTGTACAGTTTCATGTCTTTAATATCCGAACTACAGAAAAAGTCCTTTAAAATATTCACTTTACTCCTTTTTTTAATGTATTTCTTGTTTTCTTGACTTACCTGTTGCTATGTTCAGTAATAAACCCCCCTAAATGATGTTTATCAGGTTTAAATGTCTCTACCTTCCTATAGCAAACTGGAAACGCTGTCAAAGAGATCAGTAAACTCTCCATGTGTTTGTTTGTCCTTTACAGAGCGCCATGCCTCTGTCGTCAGCCATCTTTAAGAGCGAACACAAGAACCCGGTGCCCCAGTGTCCGCCCCGGCTGGATGTCCAGACAATTAATGCTGTGCTGTGGAGCCGCATGCCCAACACCTTCCTCAAAGTGGACACAACCAGAGTGAGTGAGAGGCACGGATGGGTTGTTCAGTGTGTGGAGCCCCTGCAGATGTTGGCAGTCCACATACCTGAAGAGAACAGGTGTGTTTGTGCACACATAAACACACACACACACCTTAATATATGTATATATATATATATATATATACATATATTAA